TTCTGTCTCTCTGTCTCTCTCTGTCTGGCGAGCGCACGTGCCCTATAGCAAAAACCTCTCCAAAACAAAAAATAAAAAAACAAGAATGGAGGAGGTGGGGCTAGTGGTGGTTAAGGCACTGGACTCCCACATTGCTGACTGCAGTTTGAGTCCCAGGCCCTGCAGCTTGAAACACTCTGAACACATGTGCATGTGTGCCCCAAATCCTGAGAGGAGACTGCAGGAGAAGGGACTGTGGCTTGGCCACCCATCCTAGAGGGCGGTTTCTCACTTTCTGTCTCTCTGTCTCTCTTGCCAGCACTTGTGCCCTAGAGCAAAAATCTCTCTTAAAGAAAGAAAGAAAGAAAGAAAGAAAGAAAGAAAGAAAGAAAGAAAGAGAAAGAAAGAAAGAAGAAAGGAGAAAAGAAGAAAGGAGGAAAGGAATGGAGGAGGCGGGCCGCGGGCAGCATGGTGGGTAAGACAAGACGCCGCGTTCCCGTGTGGCCGACCAGGGTTAGCGTCCTGGTCCTGGCAGTTGGCCTTCTCACTTTTCCTCTTTGTCTCTCTCTGGTCAAATTTTTAGAATAATAATATTAAATTAAATAATTATTAAGAAAAAAAAAAATCAAGAACTGGAAGAGGGGTTGGAGGAGTGAGCGGAGGGGGGACTGAGGAGCCAGGGAAGGAGGGAGAGGGATGGAGGCGACAGCCAGTGGCCCCCTGGCCAGGGTGCACGCTGGGAGACGGAGAGAGGCTTTGGAGACCAGAAATGGCTTCTTTTGCGGGTGAGGAAGGCCTTGGGGTGGCCCAGCATGCTGGGAAGTTCAGAGTCCCCAAGGACAGGGGAGCCGTGAGGTTTGAAGGTCTTGCGTGAGGGCAGAGGAGGGTCCTGGTGGCCCAGGGTTACCCTCAACACCTCCACCCCCTCCACTTCCTCCCTGGCAGTGAAACGATTTCCTGGCCAGCGCTATTTCTGCCCATCCGTTTCCAGAAGGCGGGGGCTCCAGTCACCCCCTCCTCACCTCCCCGCAGTGCCCTCCCAGTCCCTAGGGAGCTGGGGCTGAAATAGCTCCTGGCCAGGATGTGGGGGGCATCAGAGGACAGAAAGGGCTCCCCTGGGGTCCCCAGACTGCCCAGTGTGGGCCTGAGGGGGAGGGCTGGGAGCAGCAGGGCTGGGGAAGGGGTAAAGACTGTCCCAGTGGAGTCAAGTTAAAGTGGGGACTGGGCCAGGGTTGGGGTGAGAATGGAGCTTCCAGGATGGATGGGAGATGAAGATGGGGTACAGGGGTGGAGACGAGGAGGTTCAGGATGAAAATGGGGGTGGGTTGGGGTCTGTGGAGGGGGAAGGACTTGAAAATGACACCTGGGGTTCAGACGGGGTTGGAGCTGCCGGTGCAGATGAGTGGGGGTCACAGCTGAGGACAGAGGAATGTAAAAGCAGTGGACGATGGAGCCTGGGGTGGGGGTTCAGGCCGGGACTCGGGATGGGGGGACAGGAAGAGGGCTGAAGAGGAGGTGGAGTTGAACTGGAAACTGGAAGTGACGGGGGTAGGGGCAGAGCTGGGTAGAAGGCGGGAGGAAGTGGGGTTGAGGCAGATGCTGAGATGGGCCTGGGTGGGGGTTAGGGGTGAGACCGAGGTGGGAAAGGTTGAACTGGACCCAGGGCTGGCATGGGGGGTGGGGCTAGAGCAGAGGAGTGGCCCACGGACTGGACCGGTTAACACCTGCGGGGTTGGTGGCGGCCCTAGGGGACGAACGCAGGTGGTGGAAGGTTCAGGGGTGTTTGGAGGGGCCTGAGGGGGCGTCGGCATGGGATGAGTTTCATGCGTTGAGGCAGAGATGGAGGCTGGGGGGAGGTTTAGGATGGGCGTGGCGTCGGAGTCGGGTTGAAGGAGGAGGCTGGGGTGGGTGGGATGGAGTGGCGTGGAGTGTGGGGTTGGGGCCTGAGGTTGAAAGTGGGTTGCTGCAGATAGTGTGAGCAGGAGAAGGGGAAGGGGCTGGAATCAGGCTGAAATCGGGGCGGACTGGAGGGCATGGGACGTGACTCAGGGACCCTGGGGTGTTGGGCTTGGGCAGTCAGGGGGACGAGGCTGGTGGAGAGGGCACTGAAGACCCGGTTGATGAAGGGCTGGATGGCAGCAGGGCTGGCGGGCCACAGCGGAGGGAGCCGGAAGTTGCTGATGAAGACGCAGATGGAGGCTGGGATGGGGTTAAGCACAGAGACCCGGATGACCAGGGTTGAGGGAGGCGAGGACCCTGGACTCACCTGACAGGGGCTCCTTCATCTTTGGGGGCTCCGGCACCTTGGGCGGGGGTTCGGGGGCTGCCTCTCCTGCAGGCACCACCCTCCCAGCAAGGGACGCCCGCCGGGGCTTGGGCCCACGCCCCAGTCTCAGGAAGGCCAGTCTCCGGGCAGCCTCCCCCGCCGCCTCCTCCTCCCCGTGGGCTCTGAGGCCCTGAAGCCGAGCCAGGAGGCCAAAATCTGCCGAACTCCTCCGGATCCCCGGTGCCAACACACGGCCCAGGAAAGAGCGGGGCTGCCCATCCCCTGGGCTGCCTGCTCGTCGGCCAGGTGACCAACCCAGCCGGAAGGGGGCCAGACCCGCCAGTTTCTCCAAGGTGGCCCGACGGCGACAAGAAGTTCCATTGGGCAGCGACCCCAGCTCCCCGACCTCTTCTTCTTCCAGCCCTGGAACTTCCTCAAAGGGGTTCCGGGAGGACCTCAGAGGCAGGGTCCCTGCCCGGGGCAACTTAGGGTCTGGCACCCCTAGACTCTTCAGGATAGGCATTTTGACAGGTGGGGACCTAGGGGGAAAATAATGGCCATCAGTGGTGGTGGTGACAACGCCTCTGTGGATCAAGCTCTTCGGGGTGAAGGTACCAGGCCTCCGTCTACACACTGGTTCCCCGAACCTGCACGACCCTCCATAGTGGGGGCTGTCAGTTTCCCCTCTGTGGAGGTGAGGAAACTGAGGCTCAAAGGCGAAAGCACTTGCCCCAGGTCCAGCAGTGATCCAGGGTTTGACCCAGACCCGTCAGACGGCAGAGCCTGGTTCTTCCCCTAGCATCAGACTCTCCCCTACTGTCCCCGCCTCCCTCCTGCCCCATCAGACGTGGCCACATGCTTGGAAGGCTCAAGATCTTAGCTGACCCTCCTCTATGAAGAGGCGGGCCCAGAGAGGGGAAGCGTCTCCCCCAGCATGGCACAGCCTGCTGAGGGCAGACTGCATGGCACTCAGGCCCTGCCAGCTGCCCAAACACCCAGGCCGGACACCCGGGCACCTGCCTGCCTCTCGTCCCCTCCTGCCCCCATCCAACTAGTTCCCCTGCCGCCTTGTCTCATGTATCCCCTCAGAACAGGTGAATCCTTACAGGGACAAAGGAGCTTCTGAGGAGAGTGGTTGGGGAATGGCTGCTCGTGTGTGGGGTTCCTTGGTGGGTGGAGATGTTCTGAGCAAAAGCAGGTGGCAGTTGACATTGCCAACGTATGACACGCCACTGAACGGCGTATGAAACACCACTGACCTTACGATAGTTTTAAACTATGTTGAATTTTGGGGCCACCGGGTGGCATGGTGATTAAGGCAGCTAGATCCCATATGGGCAACTGGGCCGTTTGAATCCTGAACCTGGCAGCTTGAAAAATATGCCAGGCACATGTGCGTGCATCCCCGAAATCTTTTTATTTATTTTTTTTTGGGGGGGAGATTTTCGCTATAGGGCGCTTGCGCTCGCCAGACAGACAGAGAGAGACATAGAGACAGAAAGTGAGAAATCACCCCCCAGGGGGGATGGCCACGCCGCAATCCCTTCTCCTCCATTCTCCTCCCGGGATCTTGGGCACGCACGCACACGCGCCCGGCGTGAGTTTTAAGCCACCGGGTTCGGGACACGAACCGCGGTCGACTACGTGGGAGTCCAGTGACATAGCCATTACGCTAACTGCTGGTTCCCCGTCCCCGAAATCTTGAGGTGAGAATGGGAGAGAAGGGATGGCCATGTGGCCATTCCCCCTGGGGGGGTGCTTTCTTCCCCACCTCCCCAACTCATGTGCCTTATAGCAAATAAGTATTTAAGCATAAATAAATATGGACCAGCAGGTGGCATAGTGCGTAAGGTGCTGGACTCCCCTGTACTCCACAAGTATTTGCGTTCCAGGCCCAGCAGGGGCCATGCCAAAATCCGCAGAGAAGAATGGAGAAGGGATTGCAGGGTGGCCATCAGTCACCCCTGGGGAGTGAGTTCTCCTTTCTCCTTTTTATCTGTCTTTCTCTCTGTCTCTCTTTGTTTAAACATTTTGTCTCCCACAGTCCCCTCTACTCCATTCCCCTTAAAAATGTAAGCTCTATGAGGGTTTAGAGTTTTGACTTTTTTATTCACTACTGTGTCTCTGGTAGTATAGCCTATGCATCCCCAAGAGAAGGAATTCGTATTTCTCTTCTCATAGCTTAAACTTACAGGTCCTGGTTGAAGTGGGACAGTAGTTTATCTCTGTGGGGGCACTGGCCAAAGTATCCCCTGCTATATAAAGATGTTTTCTAGCATAGGGCAAAAAGAGGTTGTTTGGATGTATGGGTTAAAAAAAAAAACTTACTTGGGACTAGCAGATGGCAAAGTGGTTACATCACTGGACTCCCATGTAGTTGACCATGGTTCAAGTACGGGACCTAGGGGCTTAAAACTCATGCCAGGTGTTGTCTTTGTGATGCTGCACATAATGCCGAGAGAATGGAGGAGAAGGGATTGTGGCGTGGCTACCCCTCCTGGGGGGTGATTTCTCGCTTTCTGTCTCTCTGTCTCTCTCTCTCTGGCTGGCAAGTGCACGCGCCCTATAGCAAAAACCTCTCAAAAAAAATAAACATAATAAAATAAAATTAAATTAAATAAATGTAATGATGACTTATGGTATTAGTAGTAGTATTTTTGCCAGAGGACACATGCACTCACCAGAGAGACAGAGGAGAGGCAGGGATGGAGCCCTGCAGTGCTTTCCTGCTATCCCTTCTCTTCCATTTCTTCCTCCTGTCGGGATTTGGGGCACACGCGCCTGTGTGTTTTTCAAGCCTCTGGGCTGGGATTCTAACCTCGCACTCCGCCATGCCGGATCTGGCTCCTCTAACCACTAGACCACAGGGCTGGCCCTTAAATGGTGAGTTGCATGTTATGCATATTTTACAATGAAAGGAAAAACAACTTACTAGATGTTTGCTGAGGACCCACCTTGTGCAGGCGGCTGCGGAGGCAGACCCAGCCCTTGCCCTCCCGGGGCTGGCAGCTCCCTGGCTGCTGCCCCTCTGCCTCCTGTCTCTCTCCAGCCTGAGGCTCCTCCTCTTCCACCGCCATGGCCCCTACCCCAGTCCGATGCCTGCTTTCTTTTCTGCCTCAGCCTCTTCCTGGTCTCCAGCCTCTATTCTAGCTGTCTACCTTTGAGGACAGTGACAAAGTGTAAATCAGCCCCTCCGCTTCTCCGGAACCTCGGATGGCTCCCCAGGGCCCCCGGAGCCTTGCCCCAGCCTGCATGGTCTGGCAGCTGTGTACCTCATTAGTGCTGTCCCCACCCTCCTTACTCTAGGCTCCTCTTGTCCTTCTCCGTGCTGCAGCACCCGGCCCCAATATCCCCTCCTCCAGGAAGCCCTCCTTAGCCCCAAGGCTGGGTCAGGTCCCTCCTCAGGGATCCCACAGCCCCTGGGCTCCCACGTCCCTGTCATGCCTGCTCGGGGTCATCGTAGTCTGAGGACAGGTCTGTGTGCCCCCTGGAGTACAAGCCCCAGGCGGGCAGGGCTGGAGTTGTCCCAGTCATCATCATGTCCCCAGCCCCCTTCACGGGCAATGGGTGCTAAACAGGAAGCCAAGGAAGGAAGGAGGTAAGACAGTTCATTCCTGGGGTGGGGAGGAAGAGCTGGCCAGGTCAGTAGGGAGCAGGCCACAGAGGGCCTCGAGCTCCATGACGAGGGACTTGGACTTTCCCCAGGGATCTGGGGAGCCATGGAAGGTTTTTTTTTTTCCCTTTTCTGTAGGGTATGTGCACTTCCCAGAGAGAGAAACAGGGAGAGAGGGGAAGGGAGAAATCACCCCCAGGCCGGGATGGCCATGCAACAATCCCTTCTCCTCCAGGCTCCTCTTGGGACTTTGGGCATGCATGCACACATGCCTGAAGTGTTTTTCAAACTGCCGGGTCTGGGACTTGAACTGTGTTGGTGGCCATCTGGGATCCAGTGTCCTAACCATCACACCACCGGCTGACCCCCTGGAAAATGGCTTTTAAAATGAGAACTAGTCTAAAGATCCAGACAAGTATAGAAAACCAACCTAACAAACATCCCCGTGAGGCTCCAATCCTGGGGACCTCTAATGCAAACTTCCGTCCTACTCGGTTCAGGTGTTTGTAGAAATCCAACGTTGCCGATGCAGTGCAGCCCCCAGGCATGTCTCTCTGAGCCCGCTGGACGGTGCTGCCCGTTGAAGCAGGCTCTGGGCCCTCGCCCACGCAGACCCTTGTCCAGAAACGCCTATCGTCTCACGTGGCAGCAAACGTTCCAGAACGGTGTCGGACGTTTGCATCCTACAAACTGTTTTTTTTTTTTTTGGTCACCTTATAGTTGTGTGTTTGTTTTGGTAATTGCCAGAGGGCAGGTGAGCTAGCCAGAGAGAGATGGAGAGGCAAAGATGGAAAGGGGAGAAGGCGAAAGGTGCCCCTACAGGATGTGTTCACACCACAATCCCTTCTCTATTTCTCCATCCTTCGGGATTTTATTATTATTATTATTCCTTTTTTTTTTTTTAAGAGAGGTTTTTGCTATAGGATGTGTGTGCTCGCCAGAGAGACTGAAAACGAGAAATCACCCCCAGTGGGGATGACCACACTGCAATCCCTGCTGCATTCTCCTTTCTGGATCACGAACACACATGTACACGTGCCCGGCGTGCATTCCAAGTCACCAGGTCCGGGACTCGAACTGCGGTCAACTACATGGGAGTCTGGTGACTTAACTGTTATGCCATCTGCTGGCTGCCCTGTCGGGACTTTGAGTGCACACACACATGCCCTGTGTGTGTGTTTCAAGCTGCAGGGCTGGGACTTGATCCCTGTACTTGGCCATGCGGGATCCGGCTCCCTTAACCACTGGGCCCCTTTTGCTCACGCCACGAACTTGCAGGACTGAGCCATGTCTACAGCTCGCTCTAGCTGATTTATTTCCGGGGCCACGCCGTATTCTACCGTGTGACTGTGGCGCGATCAGGTCGAGGGTCTGGTGTCGCTTGTTCTCCTGTAGGTTGTTTTTCAGCCGGTCAGGCTTCTGAGCAGGTAAGGGACAGGGTCAGGGCAGTGGAGGCCTGGGAGCAGCTGGCGCTTCAGGGTCTGACGTGAGCGGGGCCACGGGGCAGGGGCAGCTCTTACTGGGTGAGCAGCCCCACGTGTCCCCCCATTTCAGCCTCTAGACCTCGGTTGTTGCTTCTCAACCTCCTGCTCCTAGAAACACCATCCAACCTCTCTCTGGTCTCCATGGTCCCCTGTCCCCCAGGGAGTCATGTCACCATGGCAACCTCTTGCCTGGAAACATCCCCTCCCGACCCCGTGTGCAATGGATACCACCCCCCACCACGCACACTCACTGTTCACACACTGAACTCCGCTGCTCTTCTCCTTAACTCGTTTCCACATGCCTCACCCTCAAAATGGCTCTACCCTCCCCAGAACTGGCTCCAACTTCTGCCCTCCGGAACAAACTATCTCCACCTCTCCCCCAAATTGCAGGGTTCAGTGTCCCTCCAATGCAATTCCATGTCATCCAAAGTTTGCTAGGCTGCCAGTCTCCCCCAAACTAGATCCATTACCCCCAAACTATTCCCAGCACCTTAAACCTGACCAATATTTTCCCAAAACTGGCCCCGACGTCTTTCCCCTTCCTGGCTCCAACACGCCCCTCTGCAAACTGGCTCCGACATCCTGCCCCCTCCGAACCCTCGTCTGCCTCCCAGTGCCCGGCCCCTGACTCACTTCCGAGGCCTCTGAGGCCCCCGGCCCGCTTGTGCAGGATGTCTCGGCCACCAGAGCTTCCCTCCGCGGGCCCCTCCTCTTCCTCGCTGCCAGCCTCTCCCCAGAGTGCCCCAAGCCCTACACAGGGGCCCCCACCTTGGTTTGCAGCGTCTCGAGCAGCTGCCTTTGACCACTGTCCTTACACGCTGCATGTCCCCCTGGCCCCCGTAGCCCGCTGCGATCTTCACCCCAAACCCCATCCCGTCACAACCCAGCCCCTCTCAGGTGCACACGCGTGTCCAGCTCTGTCCCGTCCCGTCTCCCATCCCCGTCTCCCGTCTCCATGACCTCAGCTCTTGGGATGCAGCAGGCAGGACCTCCCCCTGGTCTGCCTTCCACCTGCGCTCAGAAGGCATCCGACCCTGCGCCCTGCGTGGTCTCATCTCGGGTCACCTCTCCAGGGTGCCCTTGCAGCCTGTCCAGCCCCAGGCCCCCCAGCCTCCCCCGCCCCTTCCTCCTGCCTCCTTGCAGCTCTTCAGCCAGTGCTCCCAGGGTGCCCCGTGTGCCCCCAGGGCGGTGGAGGCTCTGGAGCCCTGTCCAGTCCCTCTGAGCTGTCTTCCCCAGAGAGCCGTGGTGGAATCCTCCCCCGCAACACACTCACCTCTGTCCTCCGTGCCTGTCCCTCTGTCCCTGCCGCTGTGCTGTCCCCAAGGCTCCTTTGGCCAGGACTGCTGAGAGCCTGGATCTGAGGAGGGGGGGCTTGGAGGAGGACAATTTCCTGTCAGGAAACCCCTCCCTCTCTGGGACCATGGGCGGGAAGGACTCATTATCTGTCTGCCCTTTTGGGCCAGGCTGCGGTTGGGCTGGGAAGGACCAGCCCCCCCATCGCCGCCCCAGGCCGGAATCGGCCGGCTCCTGCCTGCTCTTCACGCCTCCCAAGGTGACAACACCATCCTGGGCACCCCAGGGAGACTCCCCCACGCTGGCCTGGAGCCCAGAGCTGCTCTCCAGACTGGGCAGGCCCTGAGGCCTCTGAGAGAAACCCGTGGGCGTCTCTGTCTAGGGGCCCCTGCTACCAGAGAAGGACATTATTAAGGAAGGTTCTGCTGGGCCCAGTCTGGGGTTGGGGGCCCCACTGGGCTCTCTGAGCGCAGCATTGGAACTGGGGTCCTTCGCCTAAAAACCCTGCCCCTAGGTCCATGCGTGGCCCAGCTCTCCCTTTGTCATGTGGGTCTCCGAGTCATGGCCCCTTCCTGGCTTCTGCAGTCCCCTCCCCCAGGGCGGCACTCACCTTCGTCCCTTCCCATGGAGACCACAGAGACCCGGACGCACCTCGCGGTTCCCACTGTCCACTCTCCCACTGCAGTAAGTTCGGCAAAGCAGACTCACTGGAGCCGGTTCTCTTTAGCCCCAGGTGCCTGTCAGGCCTGCAGGGTGCCCACTAGCCCAGGCCTGTGCACAGAGAGCCGGACCCCACGTGGCCACAGCGCGTCTCACCCAGCGCTGGCGCGACCGTGCCCATCGTGGCTGCTTTCTCTCTGGCTCTCTGGCAAGTGCATACTCCACTGGCAATTTAAAAAAAAGGCATGGTGGTTAAAGGCGCTGGACTCCCACATGACTGGCCAAGGTTCGAGTCCTAAACCTGGAGGCTTTTCTCACTCCTTCCACCACCCCCTGTCTCTCTCTGATTAAACTGGAAAATAATAATAATACATAAAGTTAAATAAAAATAATTCTTAAAAAAAGAAAAGGTGTTAAGGGACCAGCAGTTAGCGTAATGGCTATGTCGCTGGACTCCCATGTAGTTGACCGCAGTTCGAGTCCTGGATTTGGTGGCTTAAACTCACACCGGGCGCGTGTGCGTGCGTGCGTGCCCAAGATCCCGAGAGGAGAATGGAGGAGAAGGGATTGCGGCGTGGCCATCCCCCCTGGGGGTGATTTCTCGCTTTCTGTCCCCCTGTCTCTCTCTGTCTCTCTGGCGAGCGCACACACCCTATAGCAAAAACCTCTCCAAAAAAGAAGAAGAAAAAAAGGTGTTAAATGAACATGCCTGGGGAGAGGTCAGAGCTGAGGTCGCGGTGGCTTTGGGGATGACTCTGCTACCGCTGAGGGCGTGAAGAGATGGAGCGTAGTTGGGCTGGAAATTGGGGTACTGAGTGGGGTTCAGGGTTATTTTCAAGGCTGAGTTTTAGGGTCAGGCAGTGACTCAGCGGCCCGGGCCCAAGAGCTGGCTTGGGACGAGGATCCCTGGCCCAGGCAAGTTGGGGTGCGGGTTCGGGTCGGGTCAGGGTCAGCGTGAGGAGCCGGGCTGGTTTAGGGTCAGTGCTCCTCCCCCAGCCCCAGGAGCCTGAGCTCCCTGGACAGAGGAGGGGACGTGGGTCAGGGGTTAAGATTCAAAGGTCTGAAGGCCTCAGTTCGAGTGGACTCTCCAGACAACAGTCTGTGAGGGAGGAGCTGCTGGAGCCCAGCATGGGTAGGAGGGATAGGCCCTGCCCAGGCAGCCCCTGCATCAGCACAGACCGTGGGCGAGTGGCTGTCCTGGGATGTGACTGCTGTCGGACCTCTCCCCCAACCTATCATTACTGTTTTGTTTTGTTTTTTAAGCATTTGTGGGGCCAGCAGTTGGCGTAGTGGCTATGTCCCTGGACTCCCATGTGGAGGAGAAGGGATTGTGGCATGACCATCCCCTCTGGGGGGTGATTTCTTGCTTTCTAGCTCTATCTCTCTCTGTCTTTCTGGCGAGCACACACACCCTATAGCAAACCCCCCCCCAAAAAAAGTATTTATTTAATTGTGTTTATTATTTAGTTTGACCACAGAGAAACAGAGAGAGAAAGAGAGAGGGAGAAAGGGAGAAAGCAAGCTGCCAGGTCTAGGACTCGAACCATGGTCGACCATGTGGGAGTTCAGTGCCCCAAACGCCATGCCACCTACCGGCTCCTATTGTTTTTTTTTAAATTTTGATCTAGGGTGCATGTGCTTGTCAGAGAGAGAGACAGAGACAGAGAGAGGGAAAGGGAGAAATCAGACCCAGGGAGTGGCCACTTTCTTCTCATTCCTTCTCCTCTCCGGATTTTGGGCATGTATGCCTCACGTGTAAATCACACAGTTGGCTGAGTGGGAACCAGCCACCCTAACCTTCATGCCACCTGCTTCCCCCTCCCTTTTTAATTTAATTGTTCACATACTATAAAATTCAGTCTCTCAGGGTCAGGCAGTGGCTCAGCAGTGACACAGCTCGAACTACAGGTCCTGGGTGTGCAAACCAGGACCTCCGTGGGCAGGCCAGTACGGAGCTGCTGATTGGCCTGCTGAGACCGAGGGGGATGGCTTTGGGCCTGTCTTTCAGTCTTTCTCCTGGAAATAAATAAATCACCCTTTAAAAATGTGTTTAAATCTATTTTTATTCATGATAGAGACCACCTGCACTTGCAAGAGAGAGAGAGGGAGAACGAGAGAGGGAGAGAGAGAGAGAGGGAGAGGGAGAGAGGGAGAGAGAGAGAGAGAGAGCGAGAGAGCGAGCGAAAGCACCCTTCAGCGGGAGCCGGCCACGCTATGACCCTTTTGCCTTGAGTTCTCCATCCATCAGGGCCCTGGGCATGCCCTCCAGGTGTAACGCTGATGGGGCCAGGACTTGAACTCCACTCAGCCATGTGGGAGTCCTCTGCTTCCTCTGCATAGCACCCAACCACTTATTTTTTTAAATTTGGATCTAGGGTGCTTGTGCTCGCCAGAGAGAGAAAGAGACACATGGAGAAGGCCGGCCCTAACTCACCCCCCTTTGATTTTCCTTAATTGCCAGAGGGCGCACACTCACTAAAGACAGACGGAGCGGGAGAAAGCACCCCAGCTGGGCATGGTCGTGGCGAGATCCCTTCTCCTCCATCTCTTCACCCCCTCAGAATTTGGGGCACACGTGCACACAAGGCTCAGCGTGGTGTTGTTTGTGTTTTATTTTTAAAATTATTTTTATGTAACTTTATTTATTATTAATATCATTATTATTTTTCAGTTGGATCAGAGAGAGACAGAGAGAGAGAAAGGAAGTGAGAAAGCAAGCCACCAGGTCTGAGACTTGAACCGTGGTCGGCCATGTGGGAGTCCAGCGTCTTTAACCACCACGCCACTTGCCAGCCCCTCAGTGTGGTTTTCAAGCCACCAGAGCTGAACTCAAACTGTGGTTGGCCATGCGGGATTCCGCTCCCTAACCACTAGGCTAGAGAGCTGACCCTAATTCAGCCTTTTAAAGCATTTGATTCCGAGGTTTGTAGGACCGGGGGCCCCCCGCCGCCACCGCCATCTAATTCCGGATGTTTGCATCACCCAATTCCCCACTGGCAGCCAGTGCTCATCCTTCTTCTCCCCAGCCCCTCGTAATAGCAATGAATTTTCTTTTTAAAGAATTATTTATTTTCATTTTATTCGTTCATTCATTTTAATTTGGCCAAAGAGAGACAGAGAGAGAGAGAGAAAGTGAGAAAGCAAGCCACCAGGTCTAGGACTTGAACCGTGGTCAGTCATGTGGGAGTGTCCAGCTCCTTAATCACCACACCACCCGCTGGCCCTCTATTTTCATTTTTTTTAAAATATGCTATAGGGCACGTGCACTTGCTGGAGAGAGAGAGAGAGAGAGGAAGAGTGGAAAAGCGAGAAAGCATCCTCCCTGGGGTGACAGCCACACTGCAATCCCTTCTCTTCCATTCTCCTCTTGGGATTTTGGGCACGCATACACACATGTCTGGCGTGTCTTTCAAACCACCAGGATTTGAATAGCACAGTGGGATGTGGGAGCCAGCTGCCTTAACCACCACCCTACCTGGCTGGCCCACCAATCCATTTTATTTTATTTTAAAGAATTATTCATTTAATTTAATCGATTCATTCATTCATTCATTTATTATTATTATTTTTAATTGACCAGAGCAAGACACAGCAAGAGAGAGAGGGAAAGTGAGAAAGCAAGCCACCAGGTCTGGGACTCGAACCATGGTGGGCAATGTGGAAATGTCCAGCTCCTTAACCACCTTGATGCCATCTCCTGGTCCCCAATTTTATTTTATTTTTTTTAAACTTAACTTTATTTGTTTATTTATTTTCATTTGACTAGAGAGGGACAGAGTGAAAGAGAGAAAGTAAGCCACCAGGTCTGGGATTCAAACCGTGGTCGGCCATGTGGGAGTCCTGCGTCCTTAGTCACCATACCACCTGCCAGCCCCCCAATCCATTTACTACCTTTATGGATTTGCCCATTCTGGACGTCACATAAATGGAATCATGCAGTGAGTGGTCCTTTGTATCCGACTTGTTTCATAAGCATATTTTCAAGATTCATCTACGCTGTGGCCTCCGCCTCTATAAGCCTCAGTCCCCTGGGCCAAGAAGTTGGGTGGAGAGTTGCTGGGGAGGGGGCAGCAGGGTGGGTCCTACGCGGTGCCAGTGTAGGGAGGTGATCTTCTGCCCCCGTGTGGTGCATGGGAGAACTGCAGCTCTCAATGCCTGCGTTGGGAAGGGGTTGGGAGTGATCAAGCCCTCCCCTCACCCACATCACATCAGGAAGCCACCCCTCACCTTACAGGGTTCCTTGGGATTCTACTCACCGTGGGCCACGTGGGATCCAAGTCACTTAACCACTAGGCTACAGGGCCAACCCCTGGGATAGCAAAACTTCTAGAACGCCATCCTGAACTCCTCTCTCACTGCTCCCATGTCCAAAGACACCCTGGGACGA